CCCCAAAACCCCAAAACCCCAAAACCCCAAAACCCCGATTATATTCTTAAAAATTGAAACTAAGCTTGTTATCTCTGAAGTGACGGCTGGAATAGCTAAGTTGTCAAAAGTAGAAATTAATAGGAACTTAAACCATTCCTAAAGAAGCTACTTAGTCTCCTATATCCAGGTATATAATCCGTAAAAGGTCATCCAAATTGAGGCTGTGTATTTTTAGATATTCTGGCAAATGGAGTCAGCAAGAACAGCTGAAAAGCTGCTCAGCAAGTTCAGCAATAGCATCAAGATCTTACAGTATTATGGAAACTATGAGTAAGTTCTTAATAACTTACGATGTTTCTCCTGAGGAGTTATCTAAGTAAACCCTAACAAACTTGTTTTCCTCCATATTTTGCTTGGATTCTGATATAAAAATTGTAGTGAATGTCAGAAATTGATGAATATGACATCTTCCAAAACTAGAAAAATGTGGAATGATTTCTCTAAAGAGTATATCTTTAGCATCTTGATCTGGAGCAGCAGAAGGAAGGTTTATCTGAACTATTTCTCAGAAGCTTGCATTAGCTATTTCCAGACTCATCCGATATTTGCTTCAAATTATGATTGTACTTGATCTATCAGGTCAATTGAAGATTTGGAGGTATGAGCTGCGCCATGCTGTATGACCCAATCTATTTCTCTTAATCGTATACTCAAAGCGCCGAAGCTTTGTAGCGAAGCATTTTAGTGATTATTTGGTGGGATATTCCAAACTCTTAGATTTGGTAGATTCCTCAAAATAAGTAAGACACTTTAATCTAGAGTTTCGCAACTCTGTTGCAGACCAAAGTTAAGATATCAGTAATCTATGTCCTCAGAGACATAGAAGAATATATTGAAAGGACCAAAGCAATTTTAATAGCCTTGAAGATCCCTTTCAGAGTCATTAGGAGTATTCAGAGATTTGATGAGGTTCTTAATGAACTTCAAGATCGGAATAGTGGGACTATTAACATTGTTTACACTAGATATATGGGGAAACAGGCAGAGCTGACTTTCTACGTAAGATTCTAGACTAAAATATATCAATTTAAAAACATCGATCATTACGCTACCCTTTGACATTTGTCCATTTCAAAATGTGATGTAACTGCTATAACTTAGTCTCAATGCTCCAACCAGATGGACTTTGGTTTGATTAATATATAACTATAGGGCAAGGCTTCAATCAAAAGAGACTTCTACAGCCATGAATTAATCATCAAGACAGGTACATTAACCATCTCTGCCAAACAGGAAATTTGTTGTTGGGTTTTGAATTGCGTCATCCCTCAATGCTGATCATATTCTTTAGGTAACTGGGATAATAATGAAACTACTACTAAGATCCTCAATGAGGTCAAGGTATGCCTGATGAGCAATTTCTATAGTTCTCGGAGATTACAGATGAAATTCAAGATGAAGAGTTTTACTAAAAAATTCAAAAAGATTTCTCCTTAACCAAATCTCAGTATATGACTCTTCATTGTAAAGATCCCTTTAGCTGGGACCAATGGAGAGGTGTAATAAATTTTATTCTAAAGCTAACAGAAAACCCTAAGAGTAATTTCATTCGGATCCCCAATAGATGTGACAGAGCTCCTTTCATTTAGCTCAAATGAAGAAGAAGCACAATCAATAGGACTTCTCAAGAATGTTTCATTTTTTTAACAATTTTTGGGTAAATTTATATTCTCCATATTTCATAGAGATGAAGAGTACCTTATACAAGCTGACAAGGTTGTTCTTAGCATTCAGAAAAACTCAAGATTATTGTTCCAAGACGATAGCATCTCAGTATTCTGTTTTAGGAAGAAGGAAGAAAAGCTTCAACAAAATGGCTTAATGAGGTAAGGAGTTGCATCACTTTGAAATCAATTAATTTTCCAAAATTCCAAATCATAATAATTAAATTCAGAACTTTTGAAGTATGAAAAGCCAGATTGATTAGGGTACGCTCTTTCTCTAACCTACAGAACCCACAAGAGCACATTCTGCGTTGCAAGTTCATCTCGTACCTAGCACATAAAGGTTTGGCTCTCTCAGATCTGATGAACACTATAATAATCCGTAACAATATTGGCACCCCTGACTTATGGGTGGATCATACCTCCTAAAATCTGTGAACATCAAATATGTACTCAAAAATCTACACAAGTAAGTTTAGGTGTACCAGCTCTAGCATGCTTCAAGCACCTGAACCCAAGCTGTTGTGAGACAGTCAAGCTAGTGAAAGAGTTAAGCTTTGAAGAAGAGAAAACAGATTTCAAAGAATTTGTGAACAAGATTTACCTTAATAACCATTGCTTAGCTTTGCCATGCAAAAATGTGCTGGTAACTCTTAATCAAGCATCAGCTTCAATTAAGCCTGAAGAAGCAAAAGCCAGCTTTGGGATAGGTAATTTTCTATATTTTATTCCTTTCAGAAGAAATGAAGCAGCTCCTACTCAGTGATAATCTGAGAGTCCTTGCAATTAATGGAGTAGATCAAGATGAAAAGATTGTTATGCAACAACAAGTCAAAGAAATAGTGAAGCAGGTAGGACTTCATCCAAAGCTTGTCCTCTTGAGAGTATGAGTAAAGAGATATAGAAGTTCTAGAGTTTTACACGCTCATTCTTCTCATTCTCTATATTATCCATTTAGTACCTTGCTTTGGTAACATTCAAAATATATAAAATTTGAGTTCTAAAGCACCTCTATTATTTTCTTTTTCACAAAAATACAGATTAGCAATTATACATTATAAATTTTTTGTTGTTTAGGTAATCGAGAAAGGTACAATTGATGAACTCAGAATCGGGGCAAGCAAGAAGTTTTATAAATAAAAAATTGAAAATATATTCTGATCCTACTATCTGAGAAGAGGGAAATGATCAAATTCTTATCTTTCTAATTAATCTTTAAAACCTGAGGAGCAGTTCTTACTCTCGCTTCATTAAATTTTCAGAATCTCAGTAATCAATTTAGCCTGAAATAGTTTTACTCTGCATCAAGAGACAAATTCGAACAATCTGATCGAAATAAGGCTAAAATGTATACCATTGGAGAGGAATTCAACGAACTCAATATGCTCAGCAGGAGCGTTATTAGTTATCAATATTAGCCCCACAACTAGAAATCTTGGGGTTTTGGGGTTTTGGGGTTTTGGGGTTTTGGGG